ACACACACACACACACATGCAAGCAAGCTCACTCACTAGCAGGTGCGCACATACACACACACACACACACACAGCTTAATGTAGTGTTTCTGGTGTCTATAGCCTGTCCCTGCAGCCTTTTCAATGTTAACACTGACTCTTCCGAGAAATGGCAGTGTTTACATTGCATCCTAGTGACACCTCCAGTGACAGTCACTCAGACAGTCACTAGAGGTGCTTCCTGTGTCAGTGCTGCACAGTGTGCAGCACCTACATTCAGGGCCTTTGCAGCCAATCCTATGGCAGAGCATTGGATTGGTTGAGATCATCAAGCTTGATGATCTCAGCCATAGAAGCAGGGCCAGTCGAGGGGAGACCAGCACAGCATGGGGAGAAAAACGTGAAAAAAAAAGGTGAGTAAAAACACTTTTTAAATACACACAGACACACACATACACCATGACAGACACAGACACACATATACACCATAGCAGACACACACACACACCCCATGACACAGACACCCCATGACAATGACACTGACACACACCATGACACAGACACACCATGACACAGACACACACACACCATGACACAGACACACACACACAAACATCATCATACAGACACACACACACACACACCATGACACAGACACACACACCATGACACAAACACACACACACACACACACCATGACACAGACACACACCATGACACAGACACACACCACGACACAGACACACCATGACACAGACACACACACACCATGTCACAGACACACACCATGACACAGACACACACCATGACACAGACACAGATACACCATGACACAGACACACACACACACACACCATGACACAGAAACACACCATGACACAGACACACACACCATGACACACACACATACACTCACACTGACAGAATGACACATATTACCTGTGGGTGACCGACTGGGTGTGCTTGTGGCCGAAGGGGGAGGTTTGATGGCGGCTGCTGAGGAGGTCTAATGGCAGCCGCTGAGGAGTTCTGCTGGCGGCCGCTGGGGGAGGTCTGATGGCGGCCGCTGGGGAGGTCTGATGTTCTGTCTCTGCTCCCCACCTTCGCGTGCAGCTTAATGAGACCGGGGCCGGAATATGACGTCATATTCCGGCCCCGGTCTTATTAAGTTGCGCGCTGGGGAGCAGAGACAGAACAGCTCCCCCAGTGGCCGCCATCAGACCTCCTAAGCAGCCGCCATCAAACCTCCTCCTTCAGTGGCCGCTATCAGACCTCCCCCAGCGGCTGCCATCAGACCTCCCCCAGCGGCCGCTAGCAGACCTCCTCAGCGGCCGCCATCAGACATCCTCAGCGGCTGCCATCAGACCTCTCCCTGCGGCCACTAGCACACCCAGTCGGTCACCCACAGGTAATATGTGTCAATCTGTCAGTGTGAGTGTATGTGTGTGTGTCTCTCTGTCATGGTGTGTGTGTGTGTGTCTGTGTCATGGTGTGTGTCTGTGTCATGGTGTGTGTGTGTCTGTGTCATGGTGTGTGTGTGTCTGTGTCATGGTGTGTCTGTGTCATGGTGTGCAGCGGGTAGACATGACTTTGTTCATTCCCTGGCTCCACCCTCATGTACAGTGAAAATTTCTAAATAGTATGGCTTATGGGGGAACATGACATTGCCCCAACCACCAATAGGTAGCAGATGAAGACAATGTAATGATAAATGGGGTGACTAAACAATCCTGCCACAGCCACAATTCCTAGGGATACTCTTGCACAGGCTAATCTTGGAGATATGTAGCAATCACCAAGTTCTTAGGAAGTTTAGGCTTTCCTATGTGGTAATCCTGACTTCAAACCAGAGTACAAGTCAGTATCTTGATTCTTTGAATGAAAAGCATGATTTGAAATACCATGCCTGATAAAGATGGCAGCAGTATTGCACTATTATGCTAAGCACTCTATCCAGGGAAACTGTAGAATGAGACTTCGATTAATTAGGCATCCAATGTTAAATGCCTTAATTCTGTGGTGTGGGTCTTTGTTTTTAAAACCAAAGAATACATTAATTTCACTAGTATTGTGTAAGAAAAAAATGATTTGAAGTATGCATTTTACCAATTTGCAGAATTGTCGAAGGTTCATGAGGCTATTGAGAAGGTTATCATACCAGTGGCTTGGCGGGCTGAGTACTCCTCTAAATGGCAAACAGGGCGAGACAACTAATCACGAGCAAAAACACAACTCATGTCGAGCAAGAAGAGAAATACTCTATGGGATGTTTTTTCAAGACTCTGCCGAACTTCCAGGCCAAGCCAAGATGGCGCCCGGCTCACATCTTCACGCAAGCCCATCTGATAGCTCGATGGCCTCACAGGATAAATAAATATATGGTAATATGCTTCAATAGGTGTGTATTAATTGTTAAACATTATTAATAGTGATGTCCCGAATGGTTCGCCAAACGGTTCGTGAACAGTTTGCCGCGAATGGTTCACCACGGACTCATCATTGAGTAAACTTTGACCCTGTACCTCACAGTCAGCAGACACATTCCAGCCAATCAGCAGCAGACCCTCCCTCCCAGACCCTCCCACCTCCTGGACAGCATCCATTTTGAAGCTGCATTCTTAGTGAGCTGTCCAGGAGGTGGGAGGGTCTAGGAGGGAGGGTCTGCTGCTGATTGGCTGGAATGTGTCTGCTGACTGTGAGGTACAGGGTCAAAGTTTACTCAATGATGAGTCCGTAGCGAACCGTTCGTGGCGAACCGTTCGGGACATCACTAATTATTAATATAGCAACTAATATACCGTATATACTCGTGTATAAGTCGATCTCATGTATAAGTCGAGTGCAGTTTTGTGACCAACAATTGTGAAATATGCTAGGCCTAACTTGGGGCTATGAAATTCTGTGATTTTTATAATTATATGCACACACACTCATACAAACACACACACTGCATTATATATACACACACACACTTATACAAACACACACTCTGCATTATACACATACACACTCATACACACACTATGCATTATACACACACACACACACTCATACACACTGCATTATACACACACACACACACACACTCATACACACACTCTACATTATACACACACACTCATACAAACAATCTGCATTATACACACACACTCATACAAAAACACTATATAATGCAGAGTGTGTGTTTGTATGAGTGTGTGTTTGTATGAGTGTGTATATAATGCAGTGTGTGTGTATATAATGCAGTGTGTGTGTGTATATACAATGCAGAGGGTCTGTTTGTATGAGTGTGTGTTTGTGTGTGAACTGGGTGGGTGAGGGCATTTTTATTATTTTTAATTTTTTTAATTTTAAAATTTTTTTTTTTTTTTAGTATTTTTTATTTTATTATTTACTTTTTAATTTTAATATTTACATTTTTTTATTGTAATATTATTTTTTATTATTATTAAATTTTTATTTTCATCCCCCCCTCCCTGCTTGTTAGCTGGCCAGGGAGGGGGGCTCTCATTCCCTGGTGCTCCAGTGGATGGGCTGTGTAGGAGGGGGGCTGGCAGAGAGCTGTTACTTACCTTTCCTGCAGCTCCTGTCAGCTCCCTTCTCCTCTGGACCAGTCAGAGCCGTGGCAAAGCTCTGCGCGGCAGTCACACTGCTAAACTTACAGTGGAGGAGAAGGGAGCTGACAGGAGCTGCAAGAAGATAAGTAACAGCTATCTGCCAGCCCCCAACAGGACCGCCGGGCTCATTACAAGCCCGGAGGTCCTGGTCTGTATTATGGCAATGTAAGTTGCCTTAATACAGACACTGACTCGAGTATAAGTCGAGTGGGGGTTTTTCAGCAAAAATAATGTGCTGAAAAACTAGACTTATACTTGAGTATATATGGTACACAAAAATGTGTATTCACCTAAGAAAAAATATGTGCTCCTTATTTAAACATCTTGTACCACCCACAAGGGCATATATAAACTAAAATAGTACTTCCTACACAAAAATTAATGCAGAAAGACCTAATATATTAAGCACCTATTTATCAAGCTAGAGTTAGACAACAGAATCAGCTACCTATTGGCACACCTGTCATGATAAACGCAGTGAAAAAAGGGAAATGTTATCATTGTACATAATAACAATGGCAAGTTTCTTGAATAGCCATTTATTATTCAAATATTTTTTTTTTTTTTTAAACTCTCGTACTACGGGGTTTTTAAAAAAAGCACAATTTTATATTTGAGTATTACTAATGTGACCACATATACACATATTGTTGGTTTTAAAGGCACAGCGCCCCATGTATTATAGTTAATATGGTTAAATATAGTCTTCTACAGAACACCACACTGGCACCGGACAACAACCCCTGCTAAAATGATATACTCAAAGGTCAACAATGTCAAGACTCCATAGATGCAGGGTAGGGTTGTAAAGGCCAGAGTTGACCATAAGTACCTTATAAATGGCTGTGTGTGATTAATATACTGGGGAGACTAAGCAACAAGTTAAGGAAGACTGAAACTTCCTTGACACTTCCTTGATTCCCGTAAGTCAGGCTGACTTACGGGGATCAAGGAAGTGTTTGACAATATATTCAAATACTTAAGTCTTTCTCCCAAAGAAGACCAGTGAACTTATTCCAAGGATCTTGTTCACTCCACCCTTAACACCCATCATTCAATGGTGGGTATGGTAACTTGTCTCTATAAGGAGGGGATTAAGGAAGCGCCAATCCTAGTAGCAACTGTAATAGAAATTGTTTTTCTGAAAACTCTCAAACAACCTAGAAGAGCATGAGAGGGGGCAAACTTGAGCTCAAATTTAATTATAGATTGGAGGTCGGGGATTATAGTTTTCCAATGCAGTTGGATAGAGCCACAAAAGCACCAAATGTGTTCTATTGTATCCTGCTCTAACTAGCACCTCCAGTAGAGATTGCTAATATTAAGTTAAAATGTGTGCGATAATGCTTCTGTACCTCTGATATAAGCCTTATAAAAGGCTTCTTGCCTTCTAAAGCTAATATAGAGGAGGTCAGAATTGTTCAGCATAAACATTTTCCAATCTTGAGAAGTCAGCCGGATACCAAGGGTTGCTTCTCATTGTTTCATAATCGATGGAGGAGCACCTTGCATCCTGTGCTGAATCAAGGCATCAATGTGTGAGAGGGTTCTTGGAACCTTGGAGGGGGAAGTCGCACCATATAAAATAAAGTTAAGTCCCTAGAGATCCAGAATAGGATGACCTTAACCTTCTGTAAGTTGGTGCAAACTGAGAAAGCTTCTAAGAAAGTTAGGGAATGATCCCCAGATATGTGTTGTGAAGAGAATATTAACTTTATTAAAATGTCTATTTACTCTGCATAACTATAATCAGTATTATTCATAAGTTACTTAAAATGGCTGCTAGGGAGTTACCCCTCCCATCGACTAACCACCTCAATTAACAAGATGGCGCTGGAATCTGGAGGAGAGATCCATGATGACAGTGACATCACACCCAGTAGGGTATACATTAGATGAACCACTTAACACCTAACCAATTATTGATGTATTTTCCCTGTTATCTATAATTATGCATATGATGTATTCTTGCTTTATAAGGGGCATACCGGCCCCCTGAATTAAACTTTCCTCAAGTTTTTCATTAACCTGAAACTTGTGTCTGGTGTGAATTACTTTGGGAGTGTGCACGCATTTAATTGAACAATCTGGACAGGGGCAGATATACAAAAATTATCAAACACATGATTTGATCCACAACATATGTCTGGAGCTGAAGGGTTTCTTTATTAATTAACACTGATAAATATGTATGGTTACAAGGTCCTAAAATTGATTGTACCCCTGATTTTTCTACACCCATCAGAAGTAAGGGGTTTTCAGTGACTGGGAATGATGGAGCTATAGGGGAGAGCGGTACTTCCACCACCATCACAGAGTAGGAGTGATCACAAGATGGGGGTTATTGCAACATTTATGGATTCTACACATTTTCCATGGCAAAGTGTGTAAAGGAACCAAGGTAAAACTCAAGGAAAAAAATATGCTTTAGGTTGGTCGATTCTCGTTCACGCTATCATACTGGATTATATTACAGTAAGATAAAAATGCCAAATATGAGGCAGTCCTAGCTCCCTCAATCTCAGGGCCCTGTCAAGCTGAAACAAAGGACATAAAACCACTTATCAGTTTAGTAAAAAAGTCTGTGACAGATGTAAGGGGAAAGCTTGAATATTGTACAACAGATTTAGCAGTGTCACTAGTTTTGGTATATTGATATGGCCAAATAGGGCAAATTGTGGGAGATTCTATCTCTTAAGGTCTGACAACAGGATGTTTATTAGAATAACAAAGTTAGTATTATACAGCCCTGAGATTGATGGGGTTAGGACCCCTAAATATTTGATCCCTGAGTCTGACCAGCAGAACGAATTAGATAAAAATGCTTTGAGGCACCCAGGAACCGATAGTACCACAATTTCACTCTCATCCAGATTAACTTTAAAGTTTAAAAGAGCTAAATTTGGTTACATTTCTGTACTACGTGGGGTAGTGTTGCACTTCTGGAATTAAAAAAAAAGTATCATTGGCAAGTGCGGATACTTTTGCTTCCCCAGATGGATATTTATACCCCGCAATTTGAGGATTGTGTCAGATAGCTTACAGAAAGGGTTCCATAGCCAGGACAAAGAAAAATAGGGACAAAGGACATCCTTGTCTTGTGCTGTTTGCAATGGAGAGAACCAAGATGGAGAGAACCAACATAATCTTGTACCAAAGCAGAGGGGCAAGTATACAGGGCTCCCAAGACCTGAGAGTTGCCCCAAGCCCAAAAAATTCTAAAACACAAAAATGATAGGACCAATCCACTCTTCCAAATGCCTTTTCGGTGTTCTCTGATTAGGGGATTGGGAGATAGTAGCCCCATAAATAATATTTAGAATCTTAGTGGTATTGTCACTGAATTTTTAATCCTAGTACAAAACCAGCCTGATAAGAGTGGACTAGTGCAGGCAGAAGGGAATTAAGATGAAGGGCATCAATTTTGCAAACAACTTCATATCTGTGTTGATTAGTGAGATTGGTCTGCAGTCACCACCATTTGTAGGATCTTTTCCTGGTTTTGAAACGACAGTGATGAACACCCTCAGTGTAACAGCAGCTGGGGTGGGGGGTAATCATTTTAAATGTTTTTCAAAAGTATAGTGTCAACTGGAAGAGAAAATCCTTGTAGTACCTGGTTGTTAGTCCACCTTGGACAGGTATTTTGCCCAGTGGAGTCATCTTAAGGGCCACAGACAATTCTTCCTGTGTAAAGGGAACTTCAAGGGTTTTGGCTACTTCTGGAGCTATACTATTAGTAATGTTGGTTCGTAAATTTTCCAGAACCATGTTTTTCTTGGAAGTAAGATTAAGCAGGTTATATAATGATAAAAAGCACAAACAGATTTGGCAATGTTGTCAGTGGAAGTGTTAGGAAACCCATCAGACCCAACTATTTTAGAGATACATGATGCCTGGTACCTCTGCTTGAGGGACCAGCCAACAGATTCCCACATCTTTCCCCATAGGTTTAGAATGTGTGATGAGTCATTAGCAAGGGCTTCTAGACTTATGCTGCCAACACTGCCCTGTTGCATCAAGGCATGGACTCCAAAAGACCTCTGAACGAGTTCTGTGGTATCTGGCACTAAGACATGAGCAGAAGATCCTTTAAGTACTTTAAATTGCAAGGTAGGAACTCCATGGATTATATTTGTTGTTCCAGCACATCCCACACATCTATTACTTTCCTTAGCAATCCTCCTACATTTCCCACAATCAATTGATATTGTGTTATTTTCCCCTCAACATTTCATTGCCCCCTAGCGATCACGTCTGCACTTCACATGATCGCAATCGAGAAACCTAAAGTCTTGGTCTTCACTTACACTCTCATTCAATTTTGGTCTTTGCTGAATCCACTTCCATTGGGTTATTTGTCTTAATAGTAGTATTTTTTCATAGAAACATAGAATGTTCCGCGCGGAACAGGAGTTTCTGTTTCCTGTACCCGGTCGGACTGACAGGAAGGTGCACACTGAGCGTGCACCTTCCTATCACTCCGGCCGGCCACCGCGGACAGCAGAGCAGCTCGGCCACGCGGGAGGGGAGAACCAACTGCAGCCGCCTGACCGCTCTTGACAGAGCGCTCAGGCGGCTGCAGCATTTAAAGGGCCGGCGTATAACATGCACCCATAATTTGCCCCCTATTTTCAGGGAGAAAAAGTGCGTGTTATACGCCGATAAATACGGTATTTAAATGTGTCTATCATATCCCCCTGTATCGTCTTTCCTCCAAGCTATACGTGTTAAGATCCTTTAACCTTTCCTTGTAAGTTTTATCCTGCAATCCATGAACCAGTTTAGTAGCCCTTCTCTGAACTCTCTCTAAAGTATCAATATCCTTCTGGAGATACGGTCTCCAGTACAGCATACAATACTCCAAGTGAGGTGTCACCAGTGTTCTGTACAATGGCATGAGCACTTCCCTCTTTCTACTGCTAATACCTCTCCCTATACAACCAAGCTTTCTGCTAACATTTCCTGCTTCTCTCTTGCTGCCAACCGTTAAGTCATCTGCAATTATTATCCCTAAATCCCTTTCCTCAGATGTCAAGGTTAGGACTCTATCAAATATTCTATACTCTGCCCTTGGGTCTTTAAGTCCAAGATTTTCATTGTTGATATCCCTGTTTCACATTGGCTCACTGTGTCCACACAATCGTTATCGTTTTTCTGATGACCATACTTAGTTAATCTAAATTAGCTCTTTGAGAATAATCTACGCATTATATGTGTTAATTGTTTCTTTTACATTTTTACACATATGAACTTGCTTTTTTTCACAGATATTAATCTGCTTATATTATCACATGGTTTACGATGGGGGTCACATGATCATGACACCATTTTACATGGGAAAAATTTAAATTGCTGGCAAAGTTGTTGTTTGTGTATTTTATTGTGCTTTTAAGTTACTTTTTCTTTTACTATATATAAAATCCTGGATTTTAAAGTTACTTGTTATTCGTTTGGTTTTTATTGAACATCACCTTGACTGCTTACATATTATTGGTAGAAATAATACCACCTATGCCCTAAAAATAGAGCAGAAACTGCTCTATTACTTGTAAAAATTATATTTCTCAATTTTTTTTAATGATTCCTACATACAGAGAGCACTATATATTTCTTTTGTGTTTTATATGCCATTTCCACCATACGGACATCTCCTGGTTATCCATCCCAGAGCAGGGGTTATACTGCTCAACACTGTGCTAGTAAAGCTTTCAAGAAGCTCCTTTTATTTTAGTGGCTATTTGTCCTTTACCTTTTTATCATGTGAGATCTCTGCATATTATACTACTTCTTCTCTGTCTTATGCTTTTATGTTTTTGGTCATCACTCTCTGCCTATGGTCTGATTACTACTACTTAAGACTGTGCTGAATCCCATTACTCCAGTGTCCTGAAGATTGAAGTGAGGATCAAAAATCTTTTATCCTTCACTAAAGACTTTTCTTTTTTTATGTTGATATATTTTGGTACAATGTCTGTCTGTGTATCAAAACACTACCTAACGCAGCCCGGGCATCCCCTGCAGCAGCATCCAGCCACATAACCAGTTAACCATGAAGTGGTGAGAGCTATCCTTTTTGGAACCATCTCGGACAGTAGATGTTTTCATCCCTTGTGGCTTCAAGAGTGTGTACATACTGGGACTTTATATGTTTTAGACGTTCCATATATCTTTTTCTACTTTTTTTGTCTAATTTTTCTTCTTTTTTTTGTCTTTTATTATTTTTTTCACTCATTTTTCTTTTGAACATGTACACCCAGGATCCTCAATCACTGTGGATTGACTAAATTTATCTTTAAAACGGTGATATAAACTGACTTTGTGGCATAGGAAGCAAGCGTATTAAGGATTTTTGCCACTGTTCTATGTGTTTATATATATGTAAATGTGAGAATGTATATTCTCTTTAGTATATTGAGTATTGTTTTTTGACATTGTTTTTGCCTTTTTTTGGTTGCTACTTTTGAGGGAGCTAAGTGTATGTGCTATAGCATAAAACGATTGCAAAGCACTTACTATTAAAGCACTTATACTGGATGTACAAATCTGTTTATTATATACTTGTGAATTTTTTGCATCTATTTTTGAGTGCAATATCATTTTTACCAGCACTATCAGGGACGGGAGAATGCCAACACCCATGCATATGTTCAAAACACTACCTCTACCAGCCTGCCTTCATCCCATAGTTCATACTGCTGCCATCTCTTTCCAGGTAACTGATGCATATGCACCCGACCATCCAACTGAAAAGAAAACATGATTCATCAGATCATGCAGCCTTCTTTTATAGCTCCATGGTCCATTTCTGATGCTCCGGCACTTTTGGCAGTGCACAGGAATCATCATGGGCACTCTGACCCGTCTGTGGCTACGCAGACCCATACTCAGCAAACTGGCATGCACTATGTGTTTTGACATATTTCTATCTTGGC